TAAAGGTTGCCTTAGATTCGTTGAACAGAACCGTTCTCTGGAATTGTCTGTTAAAGAAAAGTGTCTGAAAATTTTATGAACATCTCGAAAGCCCTATATACAAGCACCTCAGGCAGACTGAGGGTGTATAATCACCTCTCTCCGTTGTTCCATTCAAGCAATGGGGTTAGACAGGGCTGTCCGATCTCACCATTCCTCCTCAGATCAGTTACCAAGCTGTACAGGACGGGCTTCTACTGGTTCTTCATGGCCCCTGATTGAGATCCTAGTGGTGGTGTAACACAGTGGCTAGAGACGTTTTCAGATTTGGCTCATAATAGAACCCAGTAGCGATGCTGCTGTAACTTTCTTTTGCTTCATAAAAAATGAACGTAGCTTCTTTAACCGAAAGAATTCTTTCTGCTTGTACTTTTGGAAACTGAACTGCCTTCCCCACTATCATAACTTCACTCTCACACACTAATTTCTGTTAATTGTTTTCCTTTTTCTTATACACACTTTGCACTGACTGTCTCTTCACATTTTCATTGTTATTGTGTGATGCATATGTATTTGGTGCCCCTTTGCACCAATATTTATGTCAATAGTTAAATTATGAGTCAATTGAAGCTAGACTACCATGGAAAACCTGGAAGCACTGGACGACCGTTTCGTTCTAGTACGTGATTTCTCAGCAGTGCGCATCGATGATCCCAACCCCCTCCCGCGAGATTCGAACCCGGGACCTGTCAGTCTCGTACGCGAGCGCTTAACCATTAGACAACCGTGTTCAAATACATATATGAAAGTAAAAGATTGAAATGCTCAATGTCGCATTTCAAAATTAAATGTTTTCTATGGATTACTGTATCTGATGTGCTTATCAATTTATATAAAGCGGTGTATGTGATCACTATTTCAAAAAACAAATCTATGTCGTGATTGTCAGCTAACTATAGTGACCAATTTCTATCTTTCAAACATAGACTGCAACATGATTCTTAAATAATGTCCTAGTCATCACAACTGAAGGTGATAACGTTATTAGATCTCAACTACAAAATACCATGAGCAAGGAGTTTCCAATACTGGGTTATTTCAAGGCGTTTGATATAAACTTGGATCATCTATGAATAGCCGCACTTTTCTCTCTTCTTCCCCTCTAAATAAATATTCTTAAGATTACGAAGTTTGTAATTAAGACAATAACTTGTGTTACACTCACATTAACTTCACAGACCCGTTTTATCTTCACTATGCATATATGTCTCATACATATTGATATTTCGTTATCCTTTTCACTCAATTGAGACTTTCATCGCATCACTCCAAACTATAACTGCACAAACATTTATTCTAGCGTCATATCTTACGACAAACATAAGTTCTTTTTTCTTGATTAATTTTTGTTACTAATTTGACGATATATACATAGTCGTTTGTTCTTGTTTTATGTTCATAAACACGCCAATTAAACTGTTTGCGTATTTCACGTCTCCTTTATTTTTATTCCCTTATTTTCTCCATTTCCTTCTTTGAACTCAATTCAATATTATTCTCAATTACACAGACCCGATTTATTATTATTAATATTCTACTATTATTACTCTAATTTTTTAAATATGGCAAGTATAATGCTAACATTATTGAAAATTGTGTATTATTGCGTTTTTTGAAGAAACCTGGAATGGTTTCTTCACAACACTTATGTACCCATAAGATGTTTGTGAATAATAATAATAATAATAATAATAATAATAATAATAATAATAATAATAATGCTTTCGATTCTACGCTCATTATGACTATGGCAGAGTTTGTTGTAGAGTTTCATGTTGAGAAACCTGCTTGTTTTGGTTCGAGCTAGTGATTTCTATACTGTGCCACAAAACTGAGGAGATAACTTGTCTACCTATTCTTTCACTGACAGTTGATATGAATCACAATGTCTTTTGTCAGACTTATTAAGGGCCATCGTCACAATATACTTTCAGTTTCAACCTCTCGAACGTACATGAGGAGCAGGAATTTTGTCCATTAGGATATGTTCTGTTGAAATACAATGGTTGTTTAATTTTAGCTCTTAATTGAAAAAGAAAGGTTTATTTCGAAAGTACACCTTCGTACTAAGTGTTTTGGACTAAACTATTCTACCGGGAATTGCTGGTTCGGGACGTTTAAAGCAGATCCAAAACGTTGCGCTCTTACATTAGAGACGAGTTCAAAGGCGTGATGATAGCCTCCCTTTTCAGCTGAATAAAAACCCGTTCATACTTCAAACCGATGATGTTGATAACGCTGAAGCCTTGTCAAAATAACTCGGCGAAGTATTTTCAGTACTTTCTACCTGTTTATTTAGTAAAACATTATCTTTTGATAAGCACACCATTTTGTACGAGACAAGTTCTGTAGTATTGAAAGTAATAAACCTCAAACTTTAATGTTTAAGATTAATGCCTATGTTGGTACTAGTGCACTTATCTTTACCAATAGAATAATTAACCTAATCTGAAATTCTGAACCTGTTATGTTGTGACTACTTTCATTTCAACTAAGGAAATCTGTAGAACACACTTGGAACAGTTAGAGTAATACGTTTTATATTATACTATATAGGGTTATATAGAGTCGGGCCATACATTCTCGACTCTGTCGTCCTGGTTTCACTCTATGTGACTTTCTCTTTGTCTACAGTGTTTAATTCAGGTTATCGCACTAATCGTATGTTCGGCTTCAAGAATCGTGTGCCGGAGATCCACTACCGCTGAGGATGTTCTGACAGATAACCTTACTTGTCAAGTAATAATATTATTTGACATATTTCTCGAGCGATGTAAACTGTCGAGCGGTCAGGAATATGCAATTATTTATCCGGAATACAAGACTAGGGGTATATACCTGATTAATAACGACCATGTAGTTCGCATAACTGGCATAGCTATGAAAATAATGTAAATGGTTATTCGGAATAGTAGTCAGTCTTGTGAAATAAAATTGACATTTCGTCCAGACAACAGCAGGCTTGTAGGGAACAACTTCCACGCTTGGTTGGTCCTTTTTGAAAGGAAATTTTAACCCCAAGAATGATAGATGTGTAGCAGGAGTCATATGTTTATATACATATGAAACGGCTTTAGCGCCCAACATTCTGTAGTATGATTGCACAACATGATGCTATCTTTAGCATATGTACTTTATCGAAGTATATTTTGACTATATTTTATTTATTTTATCCTGATGGTTAGTCTGAAGCTACCACTTTTGTGGATGATTAGACAAATTCTCTTGACTATTATTGTCATTTTAGAGATAAATAGACGCTCATAATAATTAGTTCCGAAGGTCTTCGACTACCATATGCACAAGATCACCTTTAAAAACACGGTGCTGCAAATCTCTCGCAAAAGGTAACTAGCTCAGATAAAATATTTCTGGATGCATTAAAGAGAAGTTACAAACAATAGCGTTATAGAACTATGGATATTCATGAAATTTTTATATTTGAACTCAAATACATCCGAAAACAAAAAATTACTAGGATTACTAGGACCATGGATCTCGCAGTAGTTTCGACAGATCTTATCAAAGTTTTCGGTATAGCCTCCCACACAGGAAGTTAATTAAACCGGTGTTTTTTGGATGAGTTATAGGATAAGAAGTTTTATAATTCATTTTCTCACCTGATGAAGGTAATGAGTAAGAAAAAATGGTTCTTCATAAACATGAAAATTTGTCAAGAGTGACGATGCTAAGCTTCGTCTTCACTTTGTTGAAATGATCTACACAGCTCTGCGAAGTTGCTACCTCTAAGTTTCATTATCTGCATTAAAAAATTGAATAATTCCCAACCTGTCCGATAAAATAACAACATAAAAATTTTTTGAATGTACTGGTGAAGCGGACGAATTGATGGTGATTGAACAACCTTCACAAACTTTCTTAATAATATAGAAGTGCGAATTGGATAGAGTGGAAACCTACGTTTTTACAGAATAAGGGAAACAGTATTACCTAGTACGACTGGTTACAAAGACTCGAGGTTTAAAATCAGTAATAACCTTGAATCTACGAGCAACACCTGGACGCTTGCTGCCAAAGGTTCATATGTCCTATGTTGTATTAACAAGACACACCCTAATTTAACCAGAGAAACTTCCAGGATATTGCACCTACCGTTTATAAAACAGCGTCTAGAATATGAGCTTCAGTCAATGAGCCCTTATTTCAAGCGTCAAGCAAGTATTCTGGAAGGCGTTCTACAACGAAGGAACAGAATGATGAAAGAATTGTCTCACCTGTTGAGAATTCCTAACTTACTTTTCCCACTCTCACAGCTCCTAGTGAGGTGGTCTAACACTAGCTTGCTGTCTACTAAGGTTGTACAGTTCTCATATATTTTCCCTTAATTGACGACCGGTCATGTGAAGAGGGGTTCTCAGACAACATTGAAAGTCAAAATCAAATCGTCCCCTCTTATCATTTCTTTTGTCTCATGTAGTCAGGGATTGCTGAGATACTCTGCCGGACCATGTAGTACGAGCAATTTATGTCGATACAGTCAAAAGGGAGGTTGAATTATTGTGGTACTACAAGTCGTGAAGTTAAAAGCACACTCCACTTGACCTTACGTGCTGTCCTATGAGGACTGATTATGACTCATTTAATCAACAGTCATCATCTTCTGCCTAGTGTTCAAGAGGACGCATGTATACATGACATGACAGAAACAAACATACGAACCTTTGCCTACTCATTCACTTATGGTAACATATTTTATTCGTTGTCATCACCATTTATCCTATACGTTTTACATATGAACTCTATTTGCATTACTCAATCAATATTTTTGCCCATCATTCTTTCTAGTCCTGTTCATCCCAATCTGAAAACTGTACCATGGTTCAATAGATAAACGATCGGTTCCAAAAGCTATAGACTCTCGAATACAGTGTTGCCAAAAAATGAAATGCCAAGGTATACGGAAACATACTAGGTACTCTGAACCATAATTCAGCACAAAAATGCGAGCCCAAAAGTACAATTTATTAATACTCCATATTGGATTCGACTTATTGCGTGCTGATCGCGGCATTTCGCCCTCAAGGTCGTTTGTTTCTCAACGGTAAGTACTAGGGGTCAAATGCGTTCTCCTGCTGTTTGAACGTGAACCAAGTTCGAATCGCGTTCACATTTCATCTTAAACTTTATTAAATTATCACTCATTTTCCGATTACAACCATCCGAATAAGTTGACCCGCCGTTCGAGTTCGAGTTATGTTCAACTTAAAGTATACCCACCATTGTGGAATTATCGGTTGCCGCGTTTGCACGTTAGTTTCAGCATAACAGCTTATTGTCAACGGATGACTATTTAGAATTATAGCTCCATAGTAGAGAGTTACCAACTTCATTGATCAAAACACTGACAGAAGTAGAGCACATGAACGAACCGATCAGATACTAACGTGAAGTTCATTCATCGAAGTAGCCTCAAAGGACAGCCGACGTCAGTTCATGATTGAAACTGATAATCTACATAAAATGGCTCACCATATTGTGATCTGATTTTTGTGTTAAGACGGTTTACCTATCCTAATTTTCTTAATTCATTTTTATGGGTCATTTCATAGCCATGCACCTTTCTCAGTAGCTATGACGGTAGTTCAAGGTTGCCCATATATTCTACTCCTACCAATGAACTACCCAACTTGAAACATCAATAAAAGCGCTGAAGCTATGCCTCATGGATACACCAATCAGATTGAAGGTAACAGGTGTAAAATTTTCGCGCGAATTTCGAAATGTTATGACATTGGCTAGTACCGTCTAAAGAGCGAACTCATTTGTTCCTAATAACACTATAGGCTACTCGAGATTGGTAAGCATATATGTTTTTTAAACAGACGGTCGATGTGATGCTAGTAAGAAGGCTAGATAATAAGGAGGACCGTCTTTTAATGCACAGTGCGTTGGCAACGCTAAATACTGATTGGCCATCCCAGACATAGTTAAGGGTCTGTAGGAAAATTGTTGTATCTGTAGGCCATCTGTGCTGTATAAGATGTCTAACAGGATGATTGTTTAGAAATTGTCATCTGTAACCATCGTGCCACCGTTTGTACACTTTACTTTGTCTAACCTGTGACTGATGTCCACATTTGAATATGTGGTCAGGTTGGTCATGATCTATAGACTATCTTAAGATGAATAGGATTTAGCCTTAAAATGGTTCTAAAGGTAAAACAGACTAAGGCTGTATGTTATTCTTGTTTTTCACCTACATCGATTCTACCACAAATAATCCTATTATGGATCCATTTTAAGTGTGTTGATTATGTAAAAGCTATATAACGTCCTGATACTTAGTGTTTTGGGTATTAGATTGTTCAGCTGTGTCACCTGAATTCTGACCGGTCTAAAAGTATTTCAAGGTCGCCCGTGAGTTGTGGTCTTACCTCAGAGGCTCGGGTCGTACAGACCAGTCTGTTTATATGTCATGGCGTTCCTTGTTGGTTCCTCTTCATCATGCAATGGTGAAAAATTATAGTAGGCCAAATAACTCCTCTTCCTTTTTTCGTTTCCTGTTGTGTTAATATATCTTTTCTCTCACTTGACTTGTTCTCCCGACCCTTCTGTATATAATATGACAAACTTCCCCGTTCGTTTGTCGACAAGCTTGTTTCCTACATTTCCCTCGTTTCAATTACGCATTATCGACGTCCCCCCTTTGGTGTCACCTTGGACATTAGCCAAAGACTACTTGACAAACTAAGCAACTATTGCATCGTGAAATTCCTCAGTCTTAACTGTTCTTGGACAAATCACAACGCCGTTTTAATCCAGTCTAAACATCCGCACAATATGTATTAGTGATTTAATGTGACTACTATGATATGCTAAAGTGGATCATTCTCCAGAAGTGTGTCAAGTGAATATAAAGAGTAAAAGTTTACTGATTGGGACTTTGAAATTAGACGGACAACCGCTAAAGTTTATAATTCGTCGTAGGTTTGTTAAAATCGAAATTTATTCTTTCTGAAAACTGAGGTTACATCACGTTACCATATGGTGAGGAACCAAACAGCTTATTTTCTGCATGAGGATTAAAAACATTCATCGATTAAACATCGTGCTATCAAATTAATATTCATTGTAAAAGTCCGTGAGTTTACGCAGACTTCAGTGACACTGAATGTACAGTACGTATAGAGGAACCAAATGTCCATCAGTGTTGAAAAGTGCCTAAATAGCTTCAGGTTTATTAAGCACACCACCTACTGTTGTAATGACAACCCAGTCTACATATTTTCGGTTCCCACATATTTTCAGCTATCGTTTCGTATTTAAACTTCATACAATAAACCTTTGTTAATCTTCACTGAAAATGCCTTGTTAAGCACATATTTTCACACTTCGTTTTTGAGTTCTGCTCTGTTTACTCATTACACTATTGAGACCATGATTTCTTAATTCGAAATAGTACAAAGACAACCAAAAATCTTATTGTGCAACTGGCTTTTAAAATGTTATTGATACATCTCAGATACACCCATATCTGTAGCCCGAACACACATTTCCGTAACGTATTTGTAAGTTAGTAATAGGCGCTGGGAAATAACTATAACAATCCCCTGATTTTAGGATAATGGGACATCCTGAACTTTATATGGTCCGGTCGGATTAGGTCTTAAAGATGACAAGCCCGACTCTGCGGAAGGCAATAAGACCTTACATCCTTTTGACCTTAATAAACAGCTTTACTACTTTGCATTTTACTTAGTTAACTCTCATTAATTATTCCCCCTATACTTTAAATATTTCTCAGATCATCTGAAAGTTACGAGTGTTCGGTCGCATTACTTAAAGATCAGCCACCGAAATGGTCCCAAACAGCTTTTGGTTTGATGCATAAGGTACTTGTAACTAATTAAAGTTAATCTTCTTCAGTAGTGATGACAGCTTTATCCAGCTTGCTCAATGTCCATTCCAAAATAACATGGTCAAAGTATTACTGTACACTCAAAGAAATCCAAACTGTCTCATCCTTTATTTCTCTACATGGATATGTACACTGCCCGTCGTGCGGAAACCACTTAGATAATGTTCAGTTCTTAAGACATATTTCAGCACATTTGCTGGTGAATGAACTCGAACTTGGTTCATTAATGTCTTTCAAATTCTGCACAGAGTGCCTGTCCGTGCCGGATGGAATCAGTATGACCTTACACAATTGGATCCATCGGCATGTAGAACAACATACACCCCTCGCACTAATGGATGGTTGTTTTGTGTGTCCTATTTGTGAGAGCAACTTTGTATCACTTATAAAATTTGCTGTACATTTATACGAAAGACATGTGTATTTAGACTCGCCTTACGTGTGCACAATATGTTACGGATTCAGATCATCTTTTTATTGTGAATTGATATCCCACTTCCAAGATTGCCACCATAAAACAAATCACATATTCTGTCCGTACTGTCTAAAACATTTCGAATTGTCTATTTTGTGGAGTATAGATTTAGGACTACATATATTCGATGCACAGGCGTTTTACACGCACGTCCAGCAACATTGGGAGCAAACGACATATCGATGTACCTCATGTCGTCTCGATTTTATGCATAAAAAGGATCTTCAGTGGCACGAGTATTTACACCATTCTGGTCATCCTTTATCAAGGCCTAGTTACCGAAGTAACGCTTGTGAACATTCGTCTCATCTAACCGAAGATCAACTGTCTCTTTCCTATTCAAATCAACTAGTTGCACACACACCACGCACACGACTAAAGTGTTTAGAATGTGGAGAGCAGGTGCGTCACCCTGTACATAAACATTTCAACATGACACTGCGTTGCGCTAGATGCAAATACACCACATCATGTATTGTCGCGGCTAATTGGCACTGGAGCAAAGTTCATTGTGCACCGCCCATACAACAGTCATCTGATTCTAATGATACTCAACCGTGGCACAAGTACATCAACACTACCGCACAGCACGAAGCAGTCCCACCCAGCACTGTCAACGCATCGCTTTACGATCCATGTTTCTCATCAACTACTCATACAAAGCGGTGCAGAAACGAACACGTCCCTGCAGGGTTATTTGTAAGAGGATATTTAAGATGTAACTGTGGCTTCCGTACGATGGTCTACGACTTAATGGCCCGTCACTTAGCAACGAAGGGAGACGGGCATAATCTCGCAAAGTTTGTATACAGGCCTCGGCCGTCATCGTTTTTAATAGTCGCTCGTCCTGCGAGAACGCTACGCACTTCCCTGTGGTGGCAAAAAAGAATAGCACGGGCACCCCACTTTTTGAACTCTGTTGGACTATCCCAATAAAAAATATAGACGAACCTGGTGACTATTTTTGCTGCAAATTTTTTGGTTGTCTTGATGCTGTCACTTGAGATTGTTTTGTAATGTTTGGTATGCTCAGTGTACATTCACAGTATATTTAGGTGCTGTTCGTGACTATTTGGATCACTGTCAGTCTAAACACAAATGCTTGGATTAAGTAAGCACTCTTTGCAAGATGAACCTCAGCTGCTGGTGATTTAACGCAGCCAGAGCTGCCCATTTTCTACGCATGAAATCTAACATGCACTCGCACTTAAATTGAGCAATACCAAACGACAAATAATAAGGTAAAGTCAGCCCCGTGGCCACATCTACATACATAGTGTCAATACTACCCCATCACGCAAGCTGATGCTGATTATCTGCTTAAGTAGCGTTACCTCTTACAAAAATTCTATCACCACTGCACTGCTATAAATCAAATCATAATCCGCCTTGTATACCATGCTAATAATCACGACCTTTTGTTTGACATTTTCAGTGATCACGACATAACATTGCTCTTAAGTAAATAAATAGTTGTCAAGATATGCTTATTTAGTGTAACACCTTTAAGGTTACAGAAGGGCAATGGTAGGTCTTATTTTCCCAAAACACGATGTTTAATGACCACCATTTTTCTGACTGACCATCCTAAATAGACAAACTACATGTCTTTCTTGACGTATTTAGTGGATAATTATGTAAGTTCAGGCGTTAACTGCAAAGATTAAGTATTTTCTTTTGGCATAAAGTTCCCGTTTACTATTTGCATAAAAAGAAATATGTGTAAACACAGATTACATGATAAATTAAGCACCAATAACACAAAGGACCTTCAAATTCACCGAAGACCAGAACGACAGTTTCGACAAAAAGGCATTGATGGAGGGTTCGGAAAACCACATGACCTAAAAATATAAAGTGATAAGTTCCCATATTAAGTCGAGCTTATACTAACCAGTTCATGACTTTATATATTTGCATTTTTAAATAAAACTGAAAAAGAAATATTGGGAAGTTTTGGCGAGTTAGTCTTAACCTGTTCATATCTTAAAAATGAATTTTGATAATGAATACATTCCACATACTAGGGTTGTTTACGATCAAGACCAATCAACTAAAAAGTAGTTGGATTTACAATCTCATTGGTTTAATGTTACAAAATGCAGTACACCTGAAGAGATTCAAGTGGAAAAAATAGCTGTAAAAACAAGTGTACTTATAATATTATGGTTTTATCAGATAATTCCGAAATTCCAATGAAAGTATTTATAAGTCAACAAGCGATTACATTCATGTGTCACATTATTCTAACTCGGATATATTGACTAATGGGGACAATCGTTACGTGCATGTATTTCAGTAGCAAAGCACAAGCATACGAAAAATCTGAGACTGCAAAGCTGTTATTTAGTTACTAAAACCCTCTTTCTGTAAAATTCAAATTAGTGTATTAGCTAAAATGAGGTTGGCTGTTTCGTCAATTTGTTGTTACATTTATATACAGGTCAAATACCTAGGCAATGTATAAAGTCCTTACCTGCAATTATTCACATTTGGTCCTCCAGGACCACCAACACGCATCCCTAGGCCAATACCACCCATTGGATGTCCACTGGGACCGCTTGGAATCATTTGCCAGTTTGGTGGTTGGTTATGAGGTGGCTGAATGTTGTTCAGAAATCCACCACCCATAGGTTGATTTGCATTGAGCATTCCTGGAGAGTTTGATGGCATGCGTTGTGACATTGACTGTGGTGGCTGTTGCAATTGAGGAGGTACTATAGGTAAACGCATACTGATATTCGGTTGATTGTTGGGAGGAGTCAGTACATTTGATACTTGATTATTAATATTCAAACCCGGTTGTAAAAGCATAGCAGGAGCCCGTGTAGGCGTAGATGTTGGAGGCATAAGTCGCGGGTTCGACATGAAAAACGACAAACCACCAGGGTTTTGTGAGCGAGGGACATTTGACCTTTGTGGCTGGAAATTAAATAATAAACTAGACTAAAATAACTTTCTCAAACGGGTTACGTGATTGGACTTTCCGTAAATTACATACATTTGCTAGTAAGACAGATGAAAATCTAAAACTAATTTTGTGAATATACTTTGAATCCTTATTAACTTGGAGTTAGACTGAACGGTTCTGTTTCTCAAAACTTTCGTACTAAACAGTAAGTCAGGTGAATAAAAAGATTTAAGACAACTAATGCACTTAAGATGTATATTATACTTCAAGTATTCGAATAAACCTAGAATAAATATTGAATAGAATAACTTAATTAGAAAGAAATGTATTTGTGTTTTCAGCTTAGTTACAGACCCCTAGATTAAAAAAATGAATTGATGGAGTTAATCACTTAGACAAAACTATATCTTAGTGAGAAATCATATCAAAACCCTGGACTGAATCTGAAACAAGCTTTCTGTTATGTGGATTCAAATCACAAACCATAATCCCCAAAAAAGAAAAATGCTCGAAACCATTTTTAATCACCTATTTTAAACGTCAGTTTGTAAAAAAAATAAAAACTTCGTATCAAGAGTAATAGGCAATACATTAGCACTATTTAAATGTATGTCATCATAATTCTAATCTTTTTACCACAAGTAATTACACTTCACTCATGAAATAATTTGAAATCAAACAAAAATTGTACGGCATTGCAAGAATGAATAGTTTGAGCAGTGTCTATTAATTAACAAAGTACACGTTACATGAGAATTCATACTTCAAAAGTTGTTTTATGAATATTAATTATCCTGTTGGTAAAATACACTGGAATTTTACTGAAATGCATTTTAACAGAACAAAGGAAAAACAGAACCCTAGGATAAAACACCAAACGAAAGAAGTTTCAACTAAATATTATAAAAGTTTCCGAAGTACTCGACTGTTAGAATTTATTTGAAAACAATGTAACGTCTTGTAATAAAAATATGCAGTAGAGTTCCTATACAATAAGATAAAAAAACTCATGGTGTTTCTCACTAAATAAATAATTAACTTATGATAAAAACTAATAAATCCTTAAGAACTAGCTAAAATAATTTAAACTGTAATGCACCGTGAACTAATCTCTCAAACATTTTAAGACTGACATGCTTACAATAATTTCCAAATCATTTCAATCTTACTGGTGTGTACTGAGGATGTCGAAGAATTCGCTGAGCACGCTTCTGATTCTGTGCATTAGCCGCATTGGGAAAAGTGGACCAATTCGGATCTGGGGCCGTCGGATTGGTATTGCGAGTTGGAGTACCATTGAGCTTAGCTGATTTAGGGGTGTCGCCCTCATCATCGACTAAGCGAGGCTTCTTTAATGGCGTAGGAATTGAGCTGGGGAACGGTGTAGTACGTTAGTAAGAAAGTTAAATTTCCAAAAACCCAAAAGATCACTAACTTTTCAGTTTATTAGTTTAGTTAAATAATAAAATTATCATAACAATAAAATGAATAGAACCAACATTCAGAACTGAACGCTAGACTAATGTTTCTATATCTAAACTAAATCAAATATTTGAAAAAAAACTGCTGCTACTACTACTGGGAATTATCTATAGTAACATATTAC